ACTTCCTTTTCCCCCTTCACTGATTACTAAAAAGAAAGCCTAAACGGAATGCTTCCCTCCTCAACTAAAAAATGGAGGGGGGTTGCTTGAATGATGAAGAGAAAAGCAGCCTTCTCTCACAGTTTAGTGTGTAAGTATGGGGGGGGGGCAGAAGAGTAACATCTCCCTGGCAGGGATGACAAATTCAGAACGAAAGACGAGTAGGCCTAAAGGGATCTGTTTTACTTCCACATACACCCCCTAATGCATATACTCTCCCTCCTTCTCTCCATGTACTCTCCCTCCCCCTCTACTTTTTTTTTTCACCAGCTCCAAATCCCCGGCATATGACCTTCTGTTAAATAGATAAAAAAAATTGCTTATCAGTCATGCAAATGAGGCTGAATTCATTTTCCACAACAGATGGCCTCATAGATAATGATGATGGAAGAGAGAAAATTGAATGTCTCTCACAAGGTGGTCATGGCAACCGAGAAGGGAATAATATCAATAATAAGCCTGGCTGCATAATAAGGTTGTCAATCCCACAAATCAAAGTCTCTGCCTGAATCAGGTAGCCCAACTCCCCCCCCCCCCCCCCCACAGCTACTTATCAGGTAGAAAGCAAGGAAGGAAGGAAGGAAGCGAGGAAGGGCTGCAAAGGAACAAAAAAAAAACAACAAAAAAAAACACAACCCACGTCAGCAGATGGGAGGTACACCGGGCAATTCCGTCGAGTTCAGAGACAAGGTCTCCCAGATCTCCCTCCTTTTTTTCTAATTGTGCGCTATTTCATTATTGGGGCAGCGGCGGGTCTTTTCCTTAAAGGATCTCCTTCCCTCCTCCTTTCTTTTGACTCACCCCCCCCCAAAAAAAAGGCAGCCCAGAAATGCTAGCTTTGAACTGGGTCTGCTCTGCCAGCTTCCCCGCCTGGTCTCTGAGGTCGAGGGGGTCCTGAGGCTGCAGAAGCAGTTCGCCCCAGGGCGATCCCGACGAAGGGGATTAAAACGAGAGTGGCAAGGCTCAGGTATCGGCAGAGCTCGGAAGCCTGCCGCCGTTCCGATGCCCTTCGCTTCGCAAAACAGCCCGCTCAACGTAGCATCTCCCCATCATGGCTTCCCGTTCGTCTTTTTCGCCACCTCCCTTTCCCCCACCCCCCACCCCCCCGGAAAGATGAAAAGGGCTCAGCAGCACCAACCCGCTCCTCTGCCCCCTCCTCCGCATAATGGTTTTGATTTCCCCTTCCTTCCTTCCTTCTGTCTCTCCCCACCCCCCCACGTCCTTAATTGTATATTGTTCACAGCTACAGTCTGTCAGGCTGACAAGCAGTTATTGTGAAAAGCTTTCTTTCCGGACTTTTCTCCCCCCCCCCCCCCCCACACATACACCTAAAAAAAATCCGCTGGAAGACGCTTCTATTAACATACTGGAAGGAATTATTGCCAGCTATTAGATGGAATACACTATTAGATGGAATACACATTTCGAGGAAAGGGATGGGAGGAAGGACCCCGAATAATTTCAACGCCACATACTTCTGTAGGGAAAAGGAATGCAGAAAATACGCGCGTGGGTGTGGGTGGGCGAGAAGTGGTGGAGCGACAGAGACTAGGTATCTAATGCCGCCGATTAGGCACCACGAAGCATCGCCGCCGCTAATTGAAAAAGCAACTTGTTACTGCAACACTCTTGCTGTGTGTCCACCATATACATTCAAGATGCATAAAACTCCAGGGATGTCCTAAAACTCAGCTAGCTCATTGGGAGGCGGGGGTTGTCGAGCGTGAGGAAAAGACAAATAAACCTTCCGCATTAGGCAGAGACATGGACAGAGAGTAGGGAAAAGGCGCCATTCGGTGGTTCTGTCAAACCGTTTTGATTTTGTTTGAACGGGAATTCTTTAATCCCTTTTTTGGGTGGACGTACTTCCTACATCCAAGCGGTTTGCCATAAAAATGATATTCCTTCATGTGTGCCAGATATTTTGATGGTGGATGAAGTGTGTATTTTTTTTTTAACTTCCCCAGCTATTGCGAGCCAATTTTTTTTTTATTGTAGGCTCATCTTGATTATAAACCCAGTGCGCGTGCGCCTCTCCATCAGTGTGCATACAGCTATAAGCGTGCTGCGCATACAAACCGTTTCTATCTATATGTTTAGACATATATTAATCCAAAGGGGACACATACTCATTTGTGCATGCACCCGCACCGCTTTCCTTTTAAGCACGGACCCGTGTCTTCAACCTAGATTAGACCAAATGAAGACCTAATCTTCTATCTTCTATCTTTGCACAGGCTTGTTTTCGATCTACCCCTATTTCTCAATCCATCTCTCTCACACACTCTTTCGGCTTTTCTCCCTCTTTTTATTTTCTGCCTATCCTCCAGTTCGGCTGCTACTACCGCTATTGCACAAAGCAGAAATCAATAGCGGCGCTCTAACGAAGGGTCCGATCAGAAAATCCCAGCTGCAGTCGGCAGCGCTTAAAACTTGGGCACGCGCACGCGTGCCAGCAGAACTTCAATGACGCCTTTCATCTGATTGGGCGCCGCATCGGATGTTCTGCGGAGCAAAGATTGGGAATCATTTACAGTCTACTTCCATTAAAAAAAAAAAAAATTAATAAAAAGGTCGTTCGTATTTTCCTGTCTCCAGGAGACCGAGGGCTGATTTCCCCACCGCCATCAGGCTACAGTCGGCGAGCAAGGAAAGGTGGCAAGAGGTGCGAGCGCGTGTCGTCACGGAGGAGGAATTAGATTCTCCTCCCGCCACCGCCTCCAAGACGGGCTTCGTTATAAATGGCCGTGACATCCGGAGCTCCGTTTCGCATTGAACGGGGCGGGTGATTCCGACGTGCGCATAGCTAAGCAAAAGGGCAGCGGATGCGATATTTTTAAAACAGGCTTAATGGAGTCCTTCTCTGCCTCCCGGCCTTTTACCCCTTTGCAGTAGTGACTCAGATTCAGCTTGTTCTCTTCCTATTTTTTTCCCCTTCCTTGCTTGGGGTCGTCTGCACAAGGGCAGAAACATATCCCCTCAAGACGTCCATTTACTATCCCTCGGGGGTTACTGATGTAATTCCAGTGACCGTATTTCAGTGATGTTCGAGTTTGCAAATGCAAATCCCGGCTTTCCACTCCCCTCCTCATTATCGGTTCACCTCGCGCTGGATCGGGCTCAGCAAAAGCAATCTAGCGCTTCCAACCACCAATCCATCTTTATTCTCTTTAGAGGAAGGTAGTATCCCTTCCAAGGTAGCAGCAGCAGTACCGCAGCACGCCTCCCACCTGCACCGTCCTCCCTCCGCCCCTTTCCCGGTCTCCTCCCTCTTCCCCCAGCCTGTAAATGTATTTCAACCTCGGGATATTGACAGCAAACCGCCCTCGGCTCAGTCTGGCTCCAGCGAAGCATTTATATTCTTCCTTCCAACCCTCCCCGCTCCGCCACCACTCCCCCCACCCTCCTTCTCCACCCCGCGCATCTTATTGCAGAGATGATGAGAAAAACCGCCAGCCCCAGATCAATTCTGAGCAGCAGAAAAAAAAAAGAGAGGGGAAAAAAAAATCTCGAGAAATGAATGAATCATGAGGCCATATTGCAACGACGCAAGTTGCGTCCCCGGCTGCTTGTGGCGGCTCTTTTCTTTCTGGCAAGCCAATTTCCCCTCGCCGCCGATCCCTTCTGCAAGGCGAACGGGGGAGGGAAGGGGGGGGAGCCGGCAGAAGGGAAGCAAGCTAACCCAACGCAGCCTGGGACAACCCTGGTCGGAGTCCAGGAAGCATTTCACCTTTCCCTAGTTAGCGCTGTCTGCCGCGAGGCTTCTTCCTTCCTTATCCTCTTTTTCCGCTCCCGCCGGCGGCTCTGCTTCACCAGCGCGTTTGTTCCCCCGTTTCTGTTTTTCTATTATTTATAGCCGCTTTCTCGGCTGCTCTTCTGCTTGCAAGCGCCACCCCGCCTCTCCCCCCCCCCTTGATGAGAGGCTGCCCTGGGCTAAGTCTCCTCGCCCCTCGGTTTTGGTAAGCTTTCTAACCCCACCGCTTTGTATGACAAGGAGGCGAGATTTGAGGGGCGCTGAGCAGCAGCCATTTTAAGCACACCGCCATATGCCTCATTGAAAAGGACGGAAGGAGAGCCCGGCGCACCTTGGCCGAGCCGCAGGCCTTTCCTCGAAGGTTTAGTGACTTAGAATCCTCAGTCCAGCAAGTTTGCAATAAAGGCGGGTAGATCTGGTATCAAGTTGGTCACTGACTTAAATAAAGTCGACTTGCCCAATGGGAGGGTAGCCCTTTAAAACACCCAGGCATCCCTGAAGGTAGGGATAGGGTGGTGATGACACAATCTCACGTCAACCCGGGGAAAATGCGGGTTTTGTTGGTGGGGTTTTTTTGGTCTTTCCAGCCAGCTTTTTTTGGTAGCTGAGGGGCACGTCGGTCGTCAACCAGCCTTCGTGCCAGTTTCCTCTGCGCTAGAAAGGGCAGCGGAACACGAGGCTCGGGCGAAGAAAGAAAAAAAACGCTTTGTTTTTCTGCGGCTGGGGGATATTGTAGTAGAGCCGCGTTGCTGCAAACGTCAGAAGTCCCCCCACCCACCCACTCCGAACCTTTTTTTGAGACTTAAACGTATTTTGTGTCTCTGGATGAGCCGGGCTGCAGTCCCCGAAGGTCGAAGCCTTTTAATAAAATGTGCAAGTCGGGAAAAAAAAGTGCTATCAGCTTGATTTTTTTTGTGTTTGTAATAAATTGCATATAAATAATAATAAAAAAATAAGGTTACACAAGACTAAGTAAAATGGGGGGGCAGCTTAGTATTTGTGAACTCTGCGCGGGGGAGAATCATTGGGGGGAGGGGAGCACTATTCGCACACCTCGGCGGAACAGCTCGCTGGCACGGCTTATTTTAACGACGGTGCGCCAGCAGAACGAGCGGAAGCGCTAAACAGACTTCCCGGAGCCCCAGAGCGTTCCCCCGCATTGCATGCGGCAATGGAGGACGAGGTGGGGGGGGATGGAGAATCGGGGGCGCACAGCTCCTTCTGTTCCTAGCTGCAACGTCGGGCTTGCAACCCCACGGAAAAGCGGCCAGCAGAAAGGCCGGGAAAGCCGCTAGGGTTCCCCAAGGGCTCGGCTTTCACTAGTCACTCTGGCCCCTCCTCGCCCTACTTTCATCTGGAGCTGCGGCGAAGCTCCTCCTTCCGTCCGTCCCTCCCTCCCAGCCTATCTTGTCCGTCCGCCCTTTTCCTCGCGCGCCCCTCCTCTGCTGCGGGTTTAGGGGACTCCTTGCTGCACGTGAAGGTTTGTTGAAAGGGGGGGGGATCTGCTGGGCCCCTGTGATCACGAGCCCCGAGGCAGGGTCCGTCTCCCCATCTTGTATTTTTACTCTCCCGGCTAAACGGGACAAAGGATTCAGATGACCAAGGGAACGTGGTTAACTATCCTATGTTGTAGTACCAAAGCGGATTAATTTCCCTAGGGTATACCAGCACCAAATGCGGGATAAGAAAATACCTTTTTTTTTTTTTTAAAGGATCTCTCTAGCAAAACGTGCTTCTTTCCCCAGGTGCTCTATCGTTTAAATGTCTGTCTACTTGCCTGAGATTAATACCCTACTGATGATATCCCAGATTACATAATCTTTTATTTATTTGTATCCCTTTATTTGTATAAATCATTCAAGGCTGCAAACATGCCTAATGCTCTTTCCCTCTTACTGTCCCCATAACAACAGCCCTGTGAAGTGGGTTAGGCTAAGTGAGAGAGACTGATCTCCAGCTTTTTATCCTGGTGCCTTAACCAGACTAGATCAAGCTGACTCTGTGTTCTCTTACGCTGCCATAGGTTTCTGGTCAAGGGTATTTTCAATTAATTTGTTTTGTGTCTTTTCTGTTTTTAGCTGCCTTTGTTGGAAAGGCAGGTTACATCAATCCAGGACTAAGACATTCATGGCAGGTGAGAGACTTGCCTGGTTTGAGCTAATGGACATATGGATATTTTGTCGGGTAGTTTGCCAGCCCAGCTTTGAAGCATAAGTGAAATATAAAGTAGCAGGATTTAAAATCTAATAGGACAGGAGTACAACAATGCATCATAACACTTTAAGACATATTTGTATATAAATATATTTTAAAGTCTGGTTGCAGAAGGAGGAGAGATGGTGTGAAGAGTGTCTTCATCTAATAAGAATGGTCTTTCTGCTCACTGTCATCTGACAGTACCTTTCTTCCTAGTTACAAAATATTGCAGTGTTCAGAAATCCATTTCTTTTTGGTGTACTCTTCCCTAAATAGTTTTACTCAATCTGGTGATTATAACAACTATGTCATAGTATAAACTGATGCTTCATTTTACTTGTTCTCTTCTGCTATTCCCATCCTTTTTTTCTTTTTGTAATATTTTTTAAGATACTGCAAGCAGCGAATGTTTTGATTGTAATTCATGTACAAGCTGGTGTGTGAACAAAACTAGATTTAGCACTCTAACACTGACAGCGTTACCTAGTTGGGTAATGAAATGTCTGCAAGAAAATCAAGCTCAGAAAGCACCAAGGACCCCATAAAGTTGATTTCAGGTCTGCTTAATTCCCAATTTTTCCAGATGAAAAAAAGTAGATCTTGATTTAAAGAACTAGCTTTGCAGAGCAACCATCTCATTGGGAGGAGGGCTCCAGCGGGGAATTAGCATGGACTTGCTATGTAAATACAAGAAAATCAGTCACACACACACACCATGCCTTTGAACCTTATCTAATTTTTCCCAGGCAAAAACTATCAGTGTGTTTAGATTCCTGTTCGATTGGCAGGGAACAATAAAGTAGCTAGTTTGAGCTCTACATGTGTGGGTTTGATTGTTTCCCTCTGACAAGTCTGTAATTAACAACATATGGTAATCTTATCCATATCTTCCCAAAAGTAAGTTATATTTAGTCCTGTAGCACTCAGCCCTAGGTACTGTAGGTTGCAATAAGACGTCCAACCCATCTCATATAATAAATAGTCCAAAGTAGAATTAGTTTTTCCTATAATGATAACCATAGATAATGAAGTAATATCCTAGGCAGCAGAGAAAACTGGGAGATAAACATTTATAAACCCTGAAAACTGAAAGGTTGCACATTGCCCATCCCAGTTTATTTGATGACATTAAGGCATTTATTAAAATACATCGCTGAAATGTCTTAAACCACCAATGTCTTTATTTTCTAATTAATTACAAAAAAGATGAAGATAATAAATAAAATGCACAATTGTTCTGAAATTAAGCACATTAGAATCTCATTTATTTGATTGCTAAGTCTGCACAAAGTTGCTTTACAGAGTGCAATGGTACTAGTCAAATATTTTTCTTTAAGGCTTTAAAGCAACTGCTTCCATAGAAATGTGCAACATGGCCTTACTGATTATAAATCCAAATAATGAAATCATTTTTCAATTTTTTTCCTGAACTGATAACTGATAAAAGGAAAGGAAACTGCAGGAATAAAGGAAGGAAGGCCTGTTTCAAAGCTATGTTTTTTCACTTGTTCATCCCATATTTGAAAATATGATTGAAGTTCGCAAACTGACAATTTCAATAGTCATATTTTCAAATCAATATATTGAGGGTGATTAAAACAGAAGAGCAAAGAGCTGAAAACACTATCTTCAAATTAAAAATAAAGTGTCTGGTGCCATAACAGCCATATAGGTGCATGGTTCTATCAAAGTTGGATTGATGTATTCTTGAAAAAGAATATGAAACTATTCTGAAAGATATAGAAAAAAAAAGGTACTTGATTTTATCAAAGATATAGAAGACCACTGTGAAGGAAAGGTATAATATTCGAAATTATTCAGTGTAGGAAAAGAAGAATGAAATGATAAAGAATGATGCATCTTTCTCTCAGAATTAGTCAAACAAAGTTGACTATTGAGAGATTGAAGACAGGAAGAACTGTATTGTAGAATTCATTGCTCTAGATTCAATGCCCACTAGATTAGATGACTTAAAAGTGTTAGATTAATTCATGAAAGGTAAGCTCTAACCCACATATTCCCCCAACATTGGCTTAAAGATTCCTTGCAAACTGTTTTTTAAAGGATACATCCTTGTGATCTCTTCATCCCATTGCCGAGGCTACCTATCTGCGTAAGTCTTTTCTATCTTTTTCCACTTTCATTCTATGCATGATGTGTGATGTTTTGGTGAGACCTCTAGTGATGATGAGGCAAAGGCTGAAATCACTTCCCCTCTTCTGTAGTTGTTGTTGACTTTCTTTATGGCTATTTTGACTTGAGCAATGGCAGAGTACCTGCCAGCATCTGGTTATGGCTCCTGGTCAACTGCATTAGACAAAACAAGAGAGTCAATGAGCGATCTGAGTGATTGCTAAGGTGAAAGAACACGAGAGACAGGGGATAGAGCAAGCAGTAGAATGAAAAAGAGCGCAAAAGACAAGATGAGTAAGAGCAAGTGATAGATAGCAATAGTGCAAGCATTAGAACAAGAGACAGGTAAGTGAGCAAGAAGAGAGAGCAAGAGAGAGAGAACAATAGAGCAAGTAATAGTACAAGCGTTAAGAATGTGAGATGGTTCAGAGAAAAACTGAGGGAGCAAAAGCTAAACCAAAGGACAAAGATATGAAAAAAGTGTGTGTGTGTGAGAGAGAGAGAATCTGTGGATTCTCTCATAGGTATCATCCGAGTGAAATAAGAAGGGAGAGACCCATTTTACCCCCATATTGGGTTTAGACCAGTGGTGAAATTCAATTTTTTTACTACCAGTTCTGTGGGCGTGACTTGGTGGGCGTGGTGTGACTTGGTGGGCATGGCAGCGGAAGGATACTGCAAAATCTCCATCCTCACCCGACTCCAAGGGAAGGATACTGCAAAATCTCCATTCCCATCCGACTCTAGGGGAAGGATACTGCAAAATCTCCATTCCCACCTCACACTGGGGCCAACCAGAGGTGGTTTTTGCCAGTTCTCCAAACTACTCAAAATTTCTGCTACCTGTTCTCCAGATCCTGTCAGAACCTGCTAGATTTGACCCCTGGTTTAGACAGATAGTTAAAACTGTGGATCTAACTCTGTCAAAACTTTCTTTCTTTCCAGCCCCAGACCTATTGCAAGTTAGGGAGAACTGTTGATGGATAGCCACCAAAAACTGTTAAGTAGTACCACACTCCAGCCTCATTGCCAAGACTGTTAACTATTGCAACTAAGCAAATTACAATTACATTCTTTTGTGCTCAGCCACAAACTGCAGAAAGGCTGTTAACCTGGTTGTCTAATAAACCTGAAGACCATCAATAATTTCTAATCATCATGACTATATGTTACTTTTTGTAAGAGAAACTGTATGCCTGCCAATAGTTGTTACCAAGGAAAGAGAAAAGGTGTGACTCTTATTCTGCTTAGGAACTGCATTTTAGGTTTATGGCTAACTGCAGTGAGGATAGGATGCTGATTTGATTAGATCTCTGGCCTGATCCTGGGGTCTTTTATTAGAAGATAGACAGGGATGTGGTCAGGCTGATTTAAGCACTTAATTAGCAGCAGGAGCTCCAATTCCAAACATGCCTTTTGTTATAATTCATTTTTGTTATTTTATGATGCCTTATGAATATATAGAAAAACCTTTAAAATGTTATATATGTTCCAAAACATTTTCCCATTAGAATTCTGAAACCTATCCAAAGTATGATGGCATTCAGTGGCTATAAATATTGGGTTGTTAGAGCTGAATTTTTTTTTAAAAAAATAGTATCAATAAAACAGCTTATTTTATTCATAAAAAAGACGTTGGCCCAATATATAACTTTATCAAATTACTTGCTTTGCTTTCTTCCCCCCATCACATGTCACCTTATGAAGATGGATCCCTGCCTTATCACAAGTGGGCATAAATCTTTCACCTCCTCTGAATTGAGTTCTCCTCTCTTTCTCGCTCAAGCAGCTTTGAGAAAGAGCTGCAGAATAAGGATGACACTACCTCACTTGCCCAGTACAAAATGAAACTTCTCATTCACAGCCTGTACCAGCTGTGGCTAATCCACAAAATTGGACACACACTGACTTTAGTCATAAACTGAAGAGCTCCTTTACCCATGGTACAGAGGCACACACACACACATACACACCCCAAAGCGAGAATTTTTCTCTTTGAACTGATATCACAAACCAGGTTTGAAAATTTTGTTGAGTGGCTGTGCAGCTTTGGAATAGGGCATTTTAACAAAATTGGTAGACTTAAATCACTTTCAATTATTCATTAACTCACTGGAGAGCAAATTCTAAGTTCCAATTCAACATGTGTTTTTTAAATTAAAGTTATTACAATATTTGGACACTTGTATCTTATTTCCCTATGATAAAATTAAATTCAAAACAATTTAACAAATGTCAAAAAAAAAAAAAAAGGTTGCAGCTTTTCCAAATAGGGAAACAGATTGAAAGATGGAGGCTTCTACTAAAATTGTAGAACATTTTATATCTAAGCAAGTAACAACAATCCTCAGTGAACCATTTATGAAGCAGGCCCATCACCTCTGAATCCTAAATATTGGACACAAGTTTTAGAAATCTAGGATCTTCGTGCTTTGCTTCTGAATATTCAGAGATATTCAATTACAGAATTCAAAGATAATTAGATTGCTTACTGCAGATTAGTTACTTCTGTGTTTTCAGCATATTCATTTACATATCAGCAAAAAGTATCTATACAGACATATATACAATATGCTTACATAACATATGTATTTCTTCTGGTATCAACATAGCATTTAGAATACGTCTATTTACAATAACATAAAAAGACATATTTTTAAGTTTTTTTTTTTAACTATGGCAAAACACCTTAAGCAGAACAAGAATTTATCAGGCAAGTGTAAAAAATAGAGATTTATCTAAAATGTATTTCCCCCCCACAAATCAACGAAATATGTCTAGTCAGGATAGTTTGAATATCTTGAGCATGTTGCTCTGTAATATTGGTAGAGCCCCAAATAAGACAGTATTACTGCGACAATTATATACTTTGTTTTGTTTACCCAACTTCACATCTTTCCTTTCAAACATAACATCAATCTTTTATTTTCTTTAAAAATAATGTTTAGATTGTACTAGGTTTTGTTTTCGTTTAGATTTTCTCTGTTCATTTATCCCTCCTGTAAGTCGTTATTTTTAGTGGTTTCCTTGTATAAGTGAATAAAATTGTAAATAACACATGGTTGTTTAAATAACACACACTTGCATGGAAATAATAAAGCTTTTCTTTCGTTTTTATAAACAATATTATTGTCCCAATCCATATTGAGCTTTCCTTCCCTTCCGTCCTTCCACACCATTTGTCTCTTGCCTACTTCACCAGATTCTGGCCACTTTACTACAATGATAGATGCATAAAATCTAACAATAAAATCAGCATAGGACTACATGTCACCTAACAGCTGAAAACATAACCCTCAAGTGCAAGAGCATCCAATATTCTTTCAACTCATCTTCCAAAGCTTTGACCAAGGTGGGTGGTTTTCATCTGCTACCAGAATGTCATGAAAGAGTGGGCCATTCTCACCTCTGGGAGGAGGAAATGCCAAAGGTTGGCACTGTTACAGAGAAAGCTTGCTTCCCAGCTGCCATCCCCCAGACCATCTGGGGAGTGTGATCACCAACTGTTTTCCCCAGAAAAGCATATGCAGAACAGAAAGATTCTGCTTGGAGAAGGCAGTCTCAGAAGAAGTCAGGGCCCTAGGCCATACAGTATAGGAATGTATTGGTCACAACCTTGACTTTGAATTGTACTTGGAGACCTATTGGTAGCCAGTGCAATTCTTGCAAGATGTCTTTGGGTTACGACCACTCATTCCAAATTATAAGAGTGCCAAACAAGGGAGATTTCAAGCTAGTCTGCAAAGTTGGGACTTGTCATGTCCCCACAGTCACATGATCATCATTTGCAACCTTCCCTGCCAGTTTCCCACAAAGGAAATTCCCAGGGTTCTTATATGCTGCTGCCCTCCCCACCCTAACACTCACCTGTGGCCCTTGCCAGCTGCTTGCTCTTGCCAGTGCCTACCTACTGCTCTTGCCAGCCAACCTGTGCTTCCCAGGACTCGGTGGACCTCCCCACCCCCCAAAACCCCTGTGCTCTTTAGCTGGGACTCCTGCCACTTCCTGGTTAGCAACTCAAGCAGTCATGGCCAGGGCCGGATTTAGGTGAAAAGAGGCCCTAGGCTATTCCACTTATGAGGCCCTTTCACCTATAGTGAAAGTGTAATTTTAATTTTGCTAACAGTTTGAATGTAGGGAATGTAGGCCCCTCTTGATCTTGAGGCCCTAGGCTGAAGCCTAGTTAGCCTATAGGAAAATCCGGCCCTGGTCATGGCATTATGACAGCAACAGGGACTGCAGGGATTGTTGTCGCAAAGGAATGCAGTCACATAATGACATACTTCGCAGACACATCAGTTAATGGTTGCGATCCCAGTCCCGATTGTCGTAACCCAAGGACTACTTGTAACGTTGCTGAACTGGGACTGATCCATTAGAAATTAGACAGCCACATTTTGAAACCCTGCAGCTTCAGAATAGCCTTCAAATCAATGCATTTAAGTAATCCAGATGCAATGTGATTAGGATATGAGTGACAGTTGCCAGAGGCTCATGTTTCAAGAAAGATTGCATCATCCACATCTGGTTAAAGAATTTTCTAACCATGGTCTCCACCTGCTCTTTCAACAGAGCTTGAATCCTGGAGAACTTCCAGATCTTCACCCAGTTCCTTCCAGAGAAATATGATTGTGAACCAATAGTTTATGCTGCATCCATTTATATGTGCACTTTCAGTGAGCCCACTCTTCTGTGCAAGCTGTGGATGGATATTGGTGAGCTTTTGTGTTAAGTTCAAGGTGCTAGTTTCCATGAATAAAGCCTTGCACATGTGAACATTCGTATATGTTACCACATAGCATAGGGGCAGGTTATTTAAGGGCAGCCTTTTTCCCATTCTATAAGCTCACAAGAGTGGGCATGTTCCAGGTCCCACCAATTAAAGAGTGCCATCTTGTGGGGTCCCAGAGCTGTGCTTTTACAGTGGCTATCTCCACTCTGGAATATCTTTCCCCTGGTGCTTCATCTAGGCAGAATCTTAAAAAAAGAACTGAAAACCTGGCTTTTCAAACAGCTCAGATGCCAGAGTGATTTGTCATCTCAATAAGCAAAGGAGGAGCGATTGGCATTTAGATGCACCAAATTTGCTGATGTGGTGCTCTGTGGGTTTCTATACGCTTTCTGTATACCACCTGGAGCCTTTGAATTTTATCAGCCTCCAATTAAATAATAAACTATTATTAACTAAAAAGGCATTTTACTCTGCCTTTTTACAAACCCTGCGAAAAGCCACTGTGCCAGGTCTTTATTTTTGCAGAAGGAGAAAGAGAAGATGGTTCACTATGGTAGTAAAGCTAATCACCACTCAATCTGCTGGGTTGCAAAGCTCAATACTAGCAGTTAAGTATCTCCGCTTGCAAAGCTCTCAACATCAAAAAAGTTGTAAGAAGAGGATATAGAATATTAAATCACAATTGTAAACATAAACCCCAGCAAACCTGCAGAGCCAACCCAGTAATTGTGGCATTTTCATTCCACCCTAAAATTCAGCATCAAGGCACAAAAATACACATACTGGTAACTACCAAAGAAGAAGAAATAAACAAGGAGCCCTTTGCATTTATAGCCCCCTGAAAGCTCAGAAGCATACACAAAGACATATTTGTACTCATAACGTGCACTTTGAAAATGTCAGCAATACTTGCCCTATGCATATTCAAACATACCCATTTATATTTGCCTAAATCTAAACAGGCATCAATCACAGCCAAAACTCAGGGTTGTAAGATATGCTGGACAGCCGAGAAAGTTCCCAGAAGAAGGCTATCCTTTCCATTTTATTGCCCAGAAAGCAACATGAATGTGTCTCTGAAGTTATTACATGTCATGCTGAGCTTAGTTCATGATGACTACATCCATGCAGTTGTCCTTGCAGTATAAGAATCATGACTTCCTATTGCCTTCTGGGATTGTTTAAAGAACATTTCCCAGTCTAGCTAGCAGTCCTGGAATTCTCAGGTACTTCTTATCCATGTATTGAACTACCTCTGTTTAGTTTTAAAATCTACCGTAGGTATTGCCACCTCCAGAGACTCTTAATGACTATTAGCATGCAAAAAGAAAAACACAAAATGTACACAAGCAATGCAACCATGCACTTATGCAGCAGCAACAGCATCTGCTTCTGAGTTAGGCTGATATAACTATATTTTTCCTCTCAGAGCCAGCCCCCTCATTATACTGTTCAGTCTCAGCCAATAGCAGTAGAGATAGACCTGTTCCGCTTTACCTGTTACCTGTAATGAATTGACTGATCTCAGCTCTACAAGATAGACCAGACTAAGAAACCAATATGATGCAGGCCAGGACCACTTTTATTTGAACAAATACAGTAACAAGAATTGTGCTTCCCTCTCCCTCGCCTGATCTTGGTGTGAACCAGGGAAGTAAGGTAGGTAAATTGAGGACCCAGTTGTGGGGGCAATAAGCTGACTTTGTATAAAATATACAAAAGGATGAAGGCTATTGCTGAGCACATTGTAAGCCGCCCTGAGTCTTCGGAGAAGGGCGGCATATAAATCAAATTTTTTTAAAAAAAGTGCTTGTCTGAGATGCTTTTTCCGAGTCATTTTCTTGACTCCGGCTGAAGCCCTTTTTATCTTGGCAATGTCTCTCGCTCCTATTCTTCTGATACATTCCCTATGCCCTCTGCAACTGGAACTTTTTTTTCCTCAACTTTTTGAGCAAAAAAAAAAAAGAAAAAAAAGAATCTGGATTCAAATGTTGGAAGTTCTAGAATGAATAGAATAACACTGCTCAAAATTTTAGCAGGGCAGTCTCAATGTATTTTGTCTTGATTCCAGAACTTGTGGTACCCAAGTGTTTTGTTTCAAGCTTGGAACATATTCAACTTAGGTCTTTTTAAAATGAGTGACAACCAGCTAAATCCTCTCCCTCTGGACTAACACCGAGGAAGTAAATTGGATGGTCCATGTTCAGCCCTAATTATAATCCAGATAATTACTGAATTCAGGAACTTAAAGCAGTTGATTAATTCTGAATTCTGCTTCATTAGTACAGCCTGATGGAAGAAACTACCTTACACTCAATCAAATCTAGTATGGTACTATTTATATAGCTTGACTTGACAGCTGCTATCCAAAGTTTCAGAGGTAACCTTTTCCAGGTCAGTCTGGAAATGCTAGAGATTAAATCCAAAATCTTCTGAATGTAAAACATGTAAATACATGTTTTACTATTGACTGATGGTTCTTCCCAAATTTAGCTAACAGGCAACCAAAATGCTATTCTTTTCCATCTTAGCTTTCTTCAACAAGTCAGTTTCGTTGGTAGTATTAACACCATATATGTGTGCCACACTTCTCAGAAATTTGGGGTGTTTGACATTTTAAGAATTAATTAGTTGTGTTATACATGTTTTCATGGATTATAACTCATTTCATAGAAAATAGTTTGGAAAGAGAGAGAGCAAGAGAGAGTATTTAGAAGGAAGGCAGAGAAGAGAATAATCTACAGAAGGGAGAATGATAAGAAAAGAGGATAGAGAATTATTTTGGGGTTGGGAGATAAATTACTTAGATCATGTCCAGAAATAATAATAATAATAATAAAAAAAAGCAAACAAAAATTGTGTTTTTGGAGAGCAGTCAATCTATTGCACTGGACATGATAATGCTTCTCAAAATCTAATAAATCTATTAAATATATATGGTTATTCTCCGAGAAAGAAGTACATATCATACTTCATGTAAGTCTTACATGAAGTACTTCATGTAAGAAAGGAGAACCAGGGAAAATGGTGAAGGTAAGGAACATGGCTGCATAAAAAGCCAGTTGGACATGCCACAGAATAACTAACTAACACAAGCAATTTGATAAGGTGTGTAGCGGAAGCTTTGGATTCTGTTTAGTCTATGTAAAATTGTGTTGAATTTTGAAATGAATTTCAGCTAAGCTGTTTTGCAACCTAATCAGGCTCTGTAATTCTTTTTCTCAAGTATTGCCACCTTGAGGTCTAAAATGGAACATCCAGGGAGCTGATGTGTTTCCCTAATTATTTCTGCATACTTACTCTGTTCAGAAATGGGAAGTTTTGATAGACTTTTGCAAGGGTTGCTTCTCTGTTAGTTCAGTTGATAAATCTGTTAAAAAAAATTTTTTTTCTTTTTACGAACCTGTGTAATCCCTTTATTCTGGGTAGAGTCGGGGCAATTGAATGGAACTGAGTATTTACTGGCCGGATGCCCTTCCTGATGTCTATGCAGTATTCGCAACAGATATTTTCTCTTTGCGCCTGACAGAGAAACATCTGTTGCTGCCTAGGATTGAACTCAACCTTCCAAGTGGAAGACAAGCATCTTCCCCACTAGGCCACCACACCACTCAATAAATCTGTTAAATATAATCTGTTCAAAATCCATTTTGAAGAAACGTTTTCTAACACAGTCATTAAAATAA